TGAATGCGGAGACCTGGGGTCCCCTTATTTTGTTAATCACTGGGGAGACCATATTTTATATAAAAGTGTTAATGAATACGGTGACCAGAGGTCATCTTATGGTGAACATTATTAAGAGACCAGAGGTCACATTAAGTTGTGTATGAATATGAAGACCAGAGAACATCTTATATTGTTCATCATTTGCAGACCACTGATCACATAAGGCTGTGTATAATATGAATATGGAGACCAGAGGTCCCCATATGGTGTACTTCATTAGGGTGACCAGAGGTCCCCTTATATTGTACATCCTTGGGAGACCAGAAGTCACCTTATATTTTACATTAATAGGGAAATCAAAGGTCACCTAATATTGTACATCAATAGGGAGACCAGGGGTCACCTTATATTGTACATCAATAGGGAGACTAGAGGTCACCTTATATTGTACATTAGTAGAGAGACCAGAGGACACCTTATAGTGTACATCATAAGGGATTCCAAAGGTCACTTTAAATTGTACATCAATAGGGAGACCAGAGGTCACCTTATATTTTACATTGATAGGGAAATCAAAGGTCACCTAATATTGTACATCGATACGGAGACCAGAGGTCACCTTATGTTGTATATCATTAGGCTTTTGTTGTACTTCATTGTGGAGATCAAAGGTTACCTTATGTTGATCATTAGAGAGACCAGAGGTTACATAGAGTTTATACAAATGCCAAGACCAGAGGTCCTCTTATATAAAACATAATTAGGGAGACAATGCAGAGGTCACGTAACGTTGTGAATGAATACGGAGACCAGAGGTCTCCATATATTGTACATTACAGTGTTATAGGGAGACCAGGTATCACAAAAAGTTTATATGGATGCAGAGATCAGGCTTCTATGATTCTAGACTCTGTTTAACTAAAAGACAACTCAAAAACAAAATAAAGGCAATAATTATGGAAATAAGCTTCTGAACATATAATCATGTGAAGAAAAAATTACTTCTTTCACTCCATAATTTCTCATATCTTACATAAACAAAGATTGAAAAAGTTCTTTTATATCATAACACAAATAAAGATTATGAAATATGTGGAGATAACGAACAGTATTCGAGCTCAAAAGTCCATTAAACATTACAAAATAGGAGCGGAGCAAACAACAGAGGTGGGATCAGGTGCCATGGAGGAGTGAGCATCCCATGCCGACCGGTCACACCCGCCGTGTGCTCCTTATCATGTTCGGGAAAAAAACGGAAAAATCCGTGGACAACTCAGTGTGTGAATAATGGGCTAACAATCAGTTTGAAAAAAGTCAGTCAGCATTTGACTTAATTGCCAACAAGGTCATTGTATCGACCATAGAACTTACGAAATGATAACTTTAAACGAGACTACTGATATTCTTGCTTCATCAACTTCTTTGTCAATAACTTACTTTGTTTTAAAAATTGTTCATACGTAGAACATGCTCTTCCGTATTGTATCAACTGAGAGATATCATTATGGAGACCAGAGATCAACTTATAAAGTACATTAATAGGGAAACAAGATGTTCAATATAAAGTAATCTCTTGTCTCCCTATTCATGTACAATATACAATATTAGGTGATCTCTGGTCTCCCTAATTATGTACAAAATAAGGTGTCAACTGGTCTCCCTATTGATGTACAATATAAGTTGACCTCTGGTCTCCCTAATTATGTACAATATACAGTGTCCTCTGGTCTCCCTATTGATGTACAATATAAGGTGACCTCTGGTCCCCCTAATTATGTACATTATAAGGTGACCTCTGGTCTCCCTATTGATGTACAAAATAAGTTACCTCAGAGGCCTGTTCAACAAAGCAAATGTCGGCGAGCGCTCACCTAAATTCCTTATTCTTTCAACAGAAATGTTGGCGAGCACTCGCAAACGTTTGCGCTGTTGAACAGGCCGGCCTCTGGTCTCCCTAATTATGTACAATATACAGTGTCCTCTGGTCTCCCTATTAATGTACAATATAAGGTGACCTCTGGTCCCCCTAATTATGTACAATATAAGGTGACCTCTGGTCTCCCTATTGATGTACAAAATAAGTGACCTCTTGTCTCCCTATTGATGTACAATATAAGGTAAACTCTAGTCTCCTTATTGATGTATATAATGTGACCTCTTGTCTCCCTCTTGATGTACAATATACAATATAAGGTGACCTCTTGTCTCCCTATTGATATACAATATAAGGTGACCTCTGGTCTCTCTTATTATGTACAATATAAGGTGACCTCTGGTCTCCCTTATTATGTACAATATATGGTGACCTCTGGTCTTCCAATTGATGAACAATATTAGGTAACCTTTGGTCTCCTTATTATTTACAATATACGGTGTCCTATGGTCTCCCTATTGATGTACAAAATAAGTGACCTCTGGTCACCCTATTGATATACAATATAAGGTAACCTCTGGTCTCCCTATTGATGTACAATATAAGGTAACCTCTGGTCTCCCTATTGATATACAATATAAGGTGATCTTTGGTCTCCCTAATTATGTAATATATAAAGTGACCACTGGTCTCCCTATTGATGTTCAAAATGAGTTACATCTGGTTTCCCTATTGATGTACAAAATAAGTGACCTCTGGTCTCCCTAATTCTGTACAATATAAGGTGTCCTCTGGTCTCCCTATTGATGTACATAATAAGTTACCTCTGGTCTCCCTATTGATGTATAATATAAGGTGACCTCTGGTCTCCCTATTGATGTAAAATATACAATATAAGGTGATCTTTGGTCTCCCTAATTATGTACAATATAAGGTGACCCCTGGTCTCCCAACTGATATACAATAAATGGTGATCTCTGGTCTCCCTAATAATGTAAACTATAAGTTGAATACTGGTCTCCCTATTGATGTACAATATAAGGAGTCCTTTGATCTCCGTATTGATGTACATTATAAGGTAACCTCTGGTCTCCCTAATTATGTACAATATAGGGTGTCTTATTGTTTCCGTATTGATGTACAATATATGATGGCCTCTGGTCTCCGTTTTGATGTGCAATAGAAGGTTACCTCTGGTCTCCCTAATTATGCATAATATAAGGTTACCACTGGTCTCCCTATTGATGTACTATAAAAGGTGACCTCTGGTCTCTCTATTGATGTACAATATAAGGTGGTCTCTGGTCTCCGTTTTGATGTGCAATAGAAGGTGACCTCTGGTCTCCCTATTGATGTACAATATAAGGTGACCTCTAGTCTCCGTTTTGATATGAAACATTAGTTTACCACTAGTCTTCACATTGGTGGTATCTGGTGACTGTTTTGCACACTCTTGTCTCCTTATTGATATACAATACCTGATGACCTCCGGTCTCGAATTGATATGACACATTATTTTATCATTCCATATCCAAGATATTGCTCAAAGCAGGCTTGTGACAATAAATTTGATGTGACCAGGGATGATCCCTCTCATGCATCTGATCCTATCTCAGGAATTTAGGAATCTGTGTTTTATCCTCTGTTTTCAAATTCCTTTGTTAATAGGATTTTTGAGATCAATCTCTGTTTGGTATCTCAACCTTTTTATTTGAATTTGTAGTTGAAAATCAGTTAATTTGAGAACAAATTCAGGACATTAAAACTAAATCTATACTTAATTTTTTTCTCATTTAAAGTTTTTAAAGTCTGTGGATTTTCCTTTTTCTATAGGAACAGATGTAAGATAGGATAAATTATAGATTAAGCAGAGTTAAGTATCGTAGATGACTGATGATAATTCTGAACCATTGACCTAAATTGAACACTTTAGGTCTATGACTGATGAACGAATGAAGAAAAAGTCTCAATTTCCCTGTGTGTTAATTTTTAACACAGTAACAAAGACATTGGTTCTCAAACTGCTGATAATAATACATGTATTGTTTGATAAAGTTAACCAGTGAAACATTTGTGAAGGGGGGGGGGGGGGAACGTCCGACACCGAGCCTTAATTATGACATCAACTTGTTGTCATGTTTTAGTATTTAAAACCATACCTTCACGTCTCTGTTAATCTATTAGAAAGATCTATATAATTTTATTAATATAATTGTATTGGAGTAAGACAGAGAAAACTTTTTTTTAATAAAATTCAATCAAAATATAGGGTGACCTGAGGTCACCATATTGATACAGATGAATTTACTTTTGTGCCTTTAATACCTGAAGAGTTCATATAATGTTTTATTACTACGCAAAATGACGAACTATTTGCGGGTGACCCGAGGTCCTAGTTGAGCGTACGTTTTATCCTCCTGCATTTGGCAATGATGGATTTGAAAAATACATTCTCATTGGTTAGTTTATAATTATCCATTACGTCATGTGTAACCACAACTTTTAAAAGTGACTTATGTCAAGGGTTTGTGTGGAGTTCCGAAATTACAAAACCTTGACATTGTGAGGATGGGATCTGGAAGGGGTTATTAGGTTTAAGCTCAGATAGGGCTGATTAAGGATAGGTTGATGTCTGAATACCTATCCATTCCTTAAAAGTAATGGAGTTGTGGCCTTGAAGGGGCCAGGGCCCATTGTTTTTACGGAATGGAGAGATAAGGATATTGACTTCAAAGACACAAGTTCATGAGCCCCGCCAGGACTTTTTAATTTAATAACCTGAACAACCCCCACCCCCCCTCCCACTGGCCACCAAATTTAGTAAGGAGGAAGGAATGCATAAAGAAAATCTATGGCTGGGCTGGGAATCAAACCAGGGACCTTGTATCACTAGTCAAGTGCTCTAACCAGTGAGTTATGGTTACGGAAGCCAACATACATACTACCACAATATGATGTTCCAACACCTATTCTACAGAACCTTTGAAATTCCTTGCATTTCCACTGGTGGGGAATGGAGGTAGCAGATAGGGGGTGTAAAGCATTTTAATAGATAGGAAATGGTTGCAAAATAACTTGACAAGATGTAACTATATGGCAATACCCAGATAAATCTGAATCCATAAAAAATAATTTAATTCCAGAATATTGTAGAATTAGTTTAATCCAATCATAACAAATTCATTACATTCAATGTATATTCAACAAGTCATGAAGTGAAATGTATAAAGACACATACACACAAACACACATCAAGCATTCATACATACATGTATATTCTTTTCATCTAATAAATACACATCCTTATGCATAACACTAACTAAAAAGTTCATAGGTCCATACAATTCAGTAATTACTCCAATCTCTTATTGTAGTTTACTACCGTATACTCACATAATGACAGGGCATGATTTAATTGATAATTAAACCCAGTGTTACACACAACCTCAACAGATCAGACTAACTGATGAAAACAAAATTAAAGGCACAGTATACCATTTCACTTGTCATTCATTAAAACAAGCATGTTCACACACCCTCATGTTTACACATATCTACCCACTAAAGCACTATTTCATGCTTTGAACACATGAAGACATTGGAAAGTAAAAAGTTGAATAAAGATGTCAAACACACCACTATGTATATTAATCCCTTACATCAGTTTTTAATCAAATCTTGACATTTAAACAGTCTGTCAGGTTATCTTTTTCACAAATTGATTTTTTCTGTAGTTCCAAACAACACCATTTTAAACCCTCATAACATTTCTTTGTCTTTAATATAATGCACATTAACTTAATTATCCCTTCCCAACACAATGAAGCTCTTAGGTGTTGTATATTATGGGTAGACTAGACAAGGCTTGTTTTTACAGCACTGATGTCCCTGTAATTATGCATCACCAAATCATATATCTCAAGAATAGGAGCAACACAATGATGACGATGACTATGGCTGCGATTTTTGCGTAGGTTGATCGCAGATTTAGGTATCGAGCATCTTTTCTATATTTCTGAGACATCACTGACAAATTACTGGCCTTACTGTCAAGATCTACAAAGACAGGAAAAAAATCTTCAAATTATGAACAATCTCAGGACAATGCAAGTCTTACAAAAGTAAGTAAACTTAAAACAAGCAGAAAAATTAAATAGATACAGAGAAACTATGATCACCCTTTGGGTGTACTTAATCCTTTGCATCAAATTTATCACTGCCCTTACATGTTCATAGGATAAGATATGTATATGTATAATATATTTGAGAAAGCTGGACTCAGTTTGGTGGCTTTGACACAGTGATTAGTTATTTAAGTCAGTATTTAAGTGGTTTGAGTGGGTATCATATTTAAGTGGCTTTGACACAGTGATTAGTGGTTTGAAAGTGGCTTTGACACAATGATTAGTGGTTTGAAAGTGGCTTTGACACAGTGGTTTTAGTGGGTATTATATTTAAGTGGCTTTGACACAGTAATTAGTGGTTTGAGTGGGTATCATATTTTAGTGGCATTGACACAGTGATTAGTAGCTTGAGTGGGTATCTATTTAAGTGGGTTTGACACAGTGATTAGTGGTTTGAGTGGGTATCACATTTTGGTGGCAGTGATCAGTTATTTGAGAGGGTAGTTTGTCACAGTGGAAAGTGGTTGATTAGGTAATGGTTATGTAATCTCCAGATTTGTATTGTTTATAGATTTTTTTTGATCAATCACTGTTCATAATCTTCACTTTTTCATTGGTAATGTTATGGTTTCATTACAATATTCTGTTTTTATTTGGGAAATGACCCATACATCGTAATTTATTAAGGTTGCTGTTTGAGCCATTGACTTGACATGTCATTGTTAATGTCTTCTAGCAGTAATACAGAAAGGTACTGTCAATGAATAAATGACTTTTACCTGACAAATTCTCTCCCCTTAACAAGACATCCTCTATATTCTGAACCATGATCCTGTGCACGTCTTGTAACTCTGAATTGATGTTGCTCAGGTTCTTCCTAGCTCGAGAATCCATGTAACTTTTCCTTGATTTCTTTATGTACGAGTCTGTGATAATAATGCAATAATAAAACATTTTATTAACAGAATGGTACTTTATTACTGCAAGTTTACAAGTGAAATTTCAACATGTTTACTATATTCAGTCAATGTATTTTAAATATTTAGCAATATGTTTACCATAAGTTTCAACTTTCAAATAAATATTCATTCGTGTAATTTACAATGCCTTGCACTATTTTTGTAAAAACAGTTCACACATTTTGAGCTGTACTGAAACAGTAATGTATAAAACTTACCAAATTCTATAAAACTATATGGCCTGGAAACAGAATCCACTTTCTGTCCATACTGGGAAGTAAATTCAGTTTGTAAATCTTCTAAGAAGGAAAATGCCAGTCTCTTTGAGAATGACTGCTCACACAGGGCCAAAAAACACACCCCTCTCTCTATTACATAACTGAAACCAGAACTCTCTGATGAGACTGTAGCTCTACTGGTTTGAACTTAAACCAAAGGAAAGAAAAATAGCACTTGTACTTGAAACAGCAATAAACAGAATAATGATCCTTGGTTTAGTCTCTTTTTGTGGCAAAATTTATTGCAATTAGATCAGAATAAATCTGTAGGAAGAGGAGTCTTTTAAAAATTATTTACAGAAATTTCAATTTTTAGTAACCATGGCAATATCATTCATTAAAATCAAAAAATGATAAAGACAATTATGCATCTCAGTGTAGTCTACTTGCATGCCAAGTTATATTCAAATCAGACCAAACTGAAGGAGGAGAAGTGTTTTGAAAGTAATTCACAGAAATTTCCTTTTTTAGTAACCATGGCAACACCATTCATTGAATCTTAGTGTAGTCTACTTGTGTGCCAAGTAATATTAAAATCAGAGCAAAACTATAGAAGGAGTAGCGTTTTGAAAGTATTTCATAGAAATTTCTATTTTTATAAATCAAAAACTGGGGATATACAGAATTATGCATCTTAGTGTAGTCTACTTGTGTGCCAAGTGATAATGAAAACCGACCAAAATTGTAGGAGGAGTAGCATTTTGAAAAATTATTTGAAGATGGACAACTAGACAGACAGATGAAGGGACGACAGACACTTTACTATTGCATAAACTCTTCTGGTCTCTGACCAATAGAGCTAAAAATAGGCATGGGAACAAATGCAAAACCTTACAGAATGCAATATGGAGGAAAAATGAAACTATACAGTACTATCTTATTGTTCTAAATAACTAGTCATATATAAAAATGTTTATACAAATTTATGAATCAAACATGGACAATAACTTTAATGGATTTTAAATAATTAATACATGTACATGGTATTCAATTTATTGACCAACTGTATAGCCTTTTCCATTCTTATTGTGTGAATTCTCTCTGTTTGTTAATTTGATTTATTGCATACACTATACAAGTAAAAGAATTTTCATCCCTCCAAACATCATTTAGGGATCAAAAATCAACAATTAACAGCTTTCAGTATACCAGAGTGTTTATATTAAACATAATAAATAGTAGTATTAATGAAATCATCCCTTCATATTCAGGTAAAAGATTCATAGATCATATTAGCTGTACTTACTGAAATATAAATGGTCCAGTTTCCAGACTACATCTGGCGGGAGGCTGAGGATCTTGGGACAGCTTCCTAAACAATTGTTTACCTTGGTTTTGATATTCCATCAAGTCTCTCCCTTGCTGTAATATGTAGATTTTATGGATAATTTAGGCACAAGGTGAAAATTTTCTTCAGAAAATGATGTACATGTAATTTTAATTTTTTCTTTTATCTTAACTCTGGCACTCATGTGTAGAGTCTGAGTGTTCAAGTTATTCTGTTTCATACCCTAACTGCGCTGTTTGACATGTATTCTATAAACAACTTTCATACTCCTGCTTTGATTAGACCTTAAAGAAAGTGAATTCCCAATACATGCACAATGTATCTGCATTTAGTGGTCTTGTAAACATGCATCAATTATATTCTGATCTTCTGAACAAGAATTGATCATAACCTCAATGTGTACTACACATTTGATTTATTAACTGAGTACAAACCCAGAACTAAGGATCTGTGAGAGACCATTTCACAGACCCCTGACAATGCCACTTTACTGTCATTTTACATTTTATTTCTAATGCCTTTATGTAACTCCTATTTGTAAAACACTGATTTCTATGAAAATTTCACCAGAACATCTACTCTAAATGTAGTACAGGGTGTTTCAGCAAACTTGTCCTGACTTCAAAAAAAAAAAAAAGGTTGGGAAATAATTGTCTTCATGAATGGAACTTTTACAAAAATCTACAGAATGTAATTATACAATTTTAAAGCATAACAGTCGAAGTAAAAAACTATATCGTTTATTCTTAAGTTTTTTTAAAACATGAACATCAGAAACATTTTTCAATCTAATGTCATGATGGTATAATGTGTTCTAAAGGGATGCTGTGTTTTTCAGTCACCAGCCATATTTTGTCTCTGATTTCTCTAATTTAGGTCCAATTTCTCAAATTCCTCTAATTTAGCTCCAATAAAAAAACTGTTTCCTAGAAAAATGCTTTCTATCTGGGTACATCTTTTGGATATATCTTATTGCTTTCAAAAATATAGACATCCAAAGTTATGTTTATTGAAACACCCTGTGCTATATCTAAACAATGCACTTCTTGTCTGTGGATATAATTCTGGGAAGCAATTAGCCTGACTAATTATCTTTAAGGGTGACCAACTGAAATACAAAAATTACTAACACACTTGTATTTTGACATGACAAAGTGCAAAAGATTCAGATGTGATTAGGCATGGATAGAGGAAATATGTTTTAATAATAATTGCTCCATTACTATTATTATTTTTTTCTCCTAACTGGAACTTTGTTTACTTTTATATTCACTGTAATCATGGTATAAATAACGGTAGATATTTCAGAATTATGGGTTATTGTAACTGCATCTAAAATCCAGAGCACTATAGCATCCTAATAAAAATATAGCAACCATCTAGGATAAAAAGATTTTTGCTATATTACATAAATATCTGCATAATGAATTAAAAAACTAGAAATATGCTCATAGCACAAGAATGCTCCACACAATTTCATTAGTATTGCCAGGCCCGTAGCAACGGTTTCAAGTGGGAGGGGCCAACTTCCCAATCTGACAAGAAAAAATAAACAAACTGAGCAAAAGGGGGGTGGCAACTTCCCAAAATTATCTGACCAAAAAAAAGTTTACTGTCCGAATCCTGAAATTTGCCAGTGCTCGACCTTAAAAACATCAAAAAAGTGGGGGGGGGGGGGGGACCAGCATCTAAAGGAAAATTTACTATGGCAAAATAGTATACTCAGAAAAAAGTGAGTTAGCTAACAACAAAGAATTAAATCAAGATCAAAGGAAAGATCAAGGTCAAAAATGTTAAAGCCATTGAATAGCTCTAATCAATATGCATCAGCAAATGAAGTTTGATAACAAATATCTTGAATATTTTTTTTGAAAGTAAGCTAAACACAAATTTGAAGTGAAGGTGAAAGGAAAAGTTAAACACAAATTTGAGAAAAGTGAAGTCAAGATTAAAGAAAAGGTCTCAGACTGTAACAATGATGAAGATGCAATAATTTGAGTTTCTTTGTCATGTTTGCATGTAAGATCAAAGAAACAAGATACAGGTACTTAATTATTTTTTTTACTCAGTTTTCAAATACAATCAATGCAATGCAGAGTGCAGTAACACATTCAGATAAGTTACAAGATTTAACTAGGTATTTCCAGTGGCATGTTTTTCACATTATTGGAGTTTTATTTCTGACCTGATTTATTAAAATGAAAATGTTTTCAAACAAGAAAATATGTTAGGTGAGTGGACAGTTTTTATCAATGAATCTATTTTGTTAACATTTACAAATTAGTCACATACTTGTTGATTGGACCACAAATAAGAAAGCATGTGCTAAATGCCAGTTGGCATGGAATGAATTGAACACTGAATCATGGACATAGTCTGAAATATCTGACGTTTTCCATTATATGTTTTTCACAATTTTGATATTTGAGGAGCCAGGAAAAAAGTCAGAACCGGTAAGTGTCATTAAGAAAATAAGTGGAAATTTGCTGCCTCCAACTGACTTTTGGTGCACGTGAACCGAATTAAACATCTAACTCACATCTTATCAACAGTGCAATACTTCTAGTACTTACCACTATCGCTTGTTCTTTGTTTTATAAAGTGTTTGACTGTCTATTGAAAACATTTTATCAAACTTTAGAGGTTTTGTTTTGATTTCCTGCATTTTAAAATCTCATACACCTGTATCGAAATGTGGAGTGACATTTTCTTTTCAGTGATATTTGTGAGAAGTAGAGGCATTGTTCTATTGATAAGTTGTGAGCTGTCATTTAATTCGATCTGTAAGTTTTTAAATTTCAAGTTCAGTTGGTGGCAGCGAAATTTCACCTTTTTATAATGGGGCCAGTTCTGATGTTTCCCTGGCACGTCAATTATCAAAATCATGAAGAACAACTGGAAAACCTCAGATATTTTCGACTATCGTGGACCCTGAAATGATTCTTGATTCAACTGCATGTCCGAGATTATAATTTCACCCTTACCACTTAACTCCTCCAACTAAGCACTTTCCTAACAGTTTATTAGCCAGTTCTTGACAATGGACACAACACAAAAGATAATAGGATAGGCATTGAATGGGGAAGCAATCACAGGAGACACTTTTTAAGAACTGTCTGTCCACAACAAACTCCAGAAATCACTACAGTATCATGAGAGTGCTTAATAGCAGCAGCAGTGATGAATATATACCATGTATTGTATACAGGTTCCTCTTAATTTTGAAAGTCTTCTTCTTCAATAAATACGTATCTCTTACTGCTAACTTTAAAAATTTTTATTTTATTTTTATCTGGTATAAAAGAAACTGCGGATAAGAGATCAGTTGTTTACCTGTTCATCCTCCTGCATTGACGCTGCCAATGGAAGGGCGTCCGCCACCCTCGCAATCAATGTCATGAGCACCATATTTCAATCTAATTCCTCCAGTACCGTGGTATGAAATTTGTTAGTTTGAGACGTCTGTTTCGGTGACGTGGGGATAATTCCGTGTAACTTTTCAGACTGTATATTGTGTCTCCATTTTCTTTAACAAAAACGTTCTGGAGATTAAGAAACTGTGTACGCCAACTTCCTGTTTTCTATGTGAACTTCCGGTAAACTTTCCACGTCTGGAATAGAACATAAGGCTATTGTAAATAAGGTATTTCATTTTAAATCACTCTTTAGTATCCTCCTTTCAAAGGTAGCAGTATCTGTTTAAGATATTTGTCTTTAATGATACATAATCTAGCTATTTTTAACTACACTGACAGAAAGATTAGATACCAGTCATCTGTCACAGCTGTGTGTATTTGGCAATTTGCAACATGGCGACAGTTAAGATGTAAATATTGTTGTTGATGATACAGTGTCTGTGTCATATTATAACATATATATATAACAAGTTTTTTTTAAAAAAAATAAAGCAAATGAAGAGCAAAGAACAAGAATCAGTAAACACCCAGAGTTCACAATAACAGAATGTTTATTGTTTATTTTAAGTTTGAAAAATTCAAACTTAAAAAGAGAAAAGATGTTAAAAAATATATATATAGAAATAGTTTAGGTCACATAAATTAAAAATTTAGATTCTCATCCTAATTTGTTTAATTATTGGGGTTGGTGGGTGGATTTTATTTTTTTATTATTGGAAATATCAACATAATGCTCTTCTTACACATAATTTTCACATTCTGAATGCCAATGTGGATAGCTTTATTGTTTATACTTTTAAATATCTACAGAACATTCTTCTTAGAGAAAATATTTACAGTGTTTATGGATTTTCAAGTACACACGTACGGCACATGCCACACGCAACTGCTACTGTGAAATAGGGTGAGGATCCCAATAAATTGCATGTTGCTGTACGTGGTAGTCATGACTTCTCATCAGCCTTTCTCCAAATACCTTTTAATTTGACCAACAACTTCTTTTGTTTTGTGTGAAAATATCACAGATTTCCACTGTCCTCATACATTTGTTCTTGAGACTATAGACATGTTCGGTATTGTCATTATTGCTAAACAGCTAGGAAGTCTAAGATATTCAGTTGAAAAGCATATAATGCTGAACAGATTTAAGATTTACCATTTCCTTAGTTCCATTATCCTTTAAAGTCTGCCAACCATCATTTTTGTAATACGAAAAAAAAACCCATAAAACTGCCGATCGTTAATGTTTCCATGTGTTCTTTTTTTTCATCTATTTTTACTTTATTCAAATCTCTTTAAAAACTTGTTGATGGCAGTGATGGTAACTAGATGCATCAAAATTTAATATTTGTGTTATTTTTGCTTTTTCTGCCTTCTGTATACTGGCATATTATCCTTTCCTACATATTTAAACTGCTTTTGTCAATTTTTCTCCATTCTTGTGCTATAAATAGCACCATACAACTTTTAATACAAACAGGGTTCTCACTAGGATTTTGCTAACTTGAGTCCCAGGACTCAAGAATTCTGAGAAGGTTGCGTCCCAGCTAAATTTGATGCGTCCCAGAATAATTATGTTGAGTCCCAACTAAATTATTGCAGTATCCCTCCATCCAAACATCAATATAAATCTTTATCATTTTATCAGTTTGTTTACGCAATATTAACATATTCAAGTATATAAACTGGTAATGCATTCAAGCCATATTCTAAAATACACACGTAATCAATTGCCATAAAAATTAACTTGGTGTTTATAAAGCTAAAATTAACTGTTGCATAATCAACTAGTACCCGAAAGTTGACTGTATACAATCACAGGTGTCATGTGCAATGAGGCGTAACTAATCCTGTCGGTCGTCTGCACTGGGTGAAATTCACGAGATAATCAAGCCGCATTGTGTATACAAGCAGTAATTATGGTTTCTACATGTAGATAACACTCAAGATTCAAAAGTGTGTGTTTTTTTAAAAAAAAAAAGCTGCAGTGTGTTTACAGCTGTCGGAGTTTGGCATGCGACATTATTATGACTATGGACTAATAAACATGAAGTATCTTAATTATGATCAATCCCTGTTTTAAAAAAAAAGAGAAATAAGTACAAGAAAAGTTATTTCTTGGATGAACTTTATGATAGTTACAGGAAGGTTTCGATTAAATATTTCTTTGACAAATCCCAACATCTAAATTCCCCGTTTTTGAAATTACCTGAATTTTCTCACTAACGAGGACGCGTCCGATCATGAGTCCGCGGACACATCGTTTTTAAGAACCTTGCGTCCCAAGTAATTTTGCTGCGTCTAGGATGCAGATTCTTGCGTTAATGAGAACCCTGACAAACGGGAGATAAATCTTAAACTTTCACTGTGATTTTTATTGAGAATTTAAAAATGTAATACATGTAAATACTTTTGATACCAAATAAAAAACCAAAAATAAAAAACAACGGAGTGGGGCACTTTGAGAGGGGCAGGCGAGAATGAGAATCTAAAATTTAATTTTACCTGGCCTTAGTTATTGATAATATTGTCAATAAGGCAAATGAGCTGTAAATGTGTGGTGTGCTCTATGATAAAGAGATTGATGAATTTATGAAGACAAAAGAGTAGAAATAAAACTGCTTCCAATGGTAATTTTCATTAAATGTTTTGCTGTTTGAATTGAAATGAGTAAACAAGAAGGAAAGCAGTATACACACATTTTTTTTTTTAATATCTTTTTGCATGTCTGAATAAAATTGTGTGGTTTTTTTAAATTTGTGCACTTATCCTGTTTTAATTGTCTATTGACAGTATGAGTCATTCAGCTCCCTGGAGCTATCAGCCACAGAACACAGATCCAGGGGGAGTCAAGCTTTTCAATCCAGCTCAGTTTGCAGAGCAGACAAATGGCCCAAGTCAATTTAATCCAGTACAACAAGATGCAAGTACTGGACACCAACAAGAAGCATTCAATGGACAACCAGAAAATTACAACATGGGGCATGATCCTTCTTGGAACTGGAATTATACTCAACAAGATCAAAGTCAAATTGCCCAAAATCCAAACATGTATGGACACGATGGACAAATGTATTACGACCAAAATCAAGGACAGTGGGTATTTTATGGACAGTATGACCAAACACTTGGTTATGATCCAAGTCAAGGTAACATGCAACAAGAACAGCAGTATAATGGATCTAACATGGAGGCCCCATCAGGAAATTTTGCAGAAAATTTTCCTCAAAACTTTAATCAGTATGGTGGTAATTACACAGGTTATGAATATAGTGAGAACATGGTGACAAATAGTCACCCTTTAAGTGATGGTGAGCATCATGAACAAAATACAGATCAGTCTGTTGATTCTGCAAAGTTGGATCAGTCATCAACTAGTCAGGGAATGTCAGGATTTTTTCAGAATGATGATTATGAGACAGAATCTAACACAGGGACTTATGATAGTTCATTCCAAGAATCATCTCTTCAGAATTCACTGGATCAAATGCATGAAGAAAAGCATGCAAATGAAGTTATTAAGCAAGAGATCAGTGGTGAAAGCCTGCAAACCTTGAATTATTCTACAGGATCGCTGGATACAGCAGCCAATCCCGTGTCAACTGCAAGTGTTCAACAGATCACTGATCAATTGCAGAATATATCTGTGTCAACCCAGGGACAGTTTGAAGAGTCAAAGGAAAGTGAGACAAACACACAGCATCCTATTGTGGGAAATGATTTGAACCAGTCAGCCATTCATGGACAAGTGAACAGCACAGGTAATGTGTCTGAAAATGTGTCGGGAGGAAGTCCACATTCTGATGATCAGCAAGGATTGAGTGACTGGGAAGTGGTGCCCCCAGAGTCCAGTCAGATGTTGGAGGTTCCTGGGGGAGAAACTAAGCACAGTCGAGAAGGGTCTCTGGACAATAATGTGCAGTTTTTCATTGGCTCTGGGAAAAACTCAGATGATGGCTCAGCGAGACACACTCCTGAATCAGCTCAACAGGTAATTCTTATGGAAAAATCTGGGTCATGCTTGAAATTGAGAACAGTTTAAAGATAAAAAAAATTGTTTTTCTTTTCAGCATTTAAATATTATTATAATAGCAACTTGTAAAATATCCAAATATACTTGTCATTTTCAGGGTCAAAACAACACTAATTTAGAAAAAGAGAAGGAGAATACTACTGATAACTTACAAGTCACAACAGAACATCTCCAACCACAGCTTACATCATCTCCCAATGTTTCTCCAGGCAAGAATAAAACAGAAGATGGGGTTGTAAATAAAGCTCCCCCTCCTGTTGGTCCACCACCAAGTGGGGCACTTAGTGAGAAAAATAACCCATTTAGGAAAGACAAAGCAAATGCTTCAAAGAACACAGATACAAATGCACTAAGTATATCACAGCCTTTTTCTAGGTCCAATCATCCACAGATGCCAAGCCCTATAGTAGCCAGCTCAGAGGATTCAATGAGGGTAGCTCAGAAAACACAACCACAAAGTCCAATCATGCCCCGAAAGGAAAGTCCGTTTCAGCCACCAAACAGGAGACGCACTTTGTCATCTCAGTCTAGTGAATCAGAGGACCAGCCAAAATCTGAAAAAGAGGTCAAGGCCAATAGCCCCAGTGTTCCCAGCCAAATATCAAGTTCTAGGGAGTCTTTGACATCTACTTCTTCAAAGCAGGGACAGGAGAATGAGAAATTAAAACGACCACCAAGGGACATGACAAAGTCTCGACCCCCAGTGGGGTCAACTCGGGGAGTGATGTCTCCACGACGAATCGAATCAGCGTTTCAACAGGTGCAGAAACAAAGAGCAAAGCATAACATGTCTCCTGCCACAACACTGTGGGCAAACAATGATACACTGCCAGTGGCTAATATCCTGCTAGCTCCAGCAGCGCCAGCCATTACACCAATCCTTACTCCTACTTCAAGTACCACTTCATCAACAAAAACCTCCCCCTCCAAAACAGCCAAAGACAGTAGGGATGTACTCTCTCCTGTCCAGATGTTGATCAATAGTATGAGTGAAAAGCAGAGTGATAAACCTGCTGAAGACTCAAAGAAAGGAAGTAAGCAATACGATAATAGACAGGAGAGACCCCATCAGAGAGGTTCTTCACGGGATCGACACGAACGGGGTTCATCCATTGACAGGGAATTGGAGATTACCAGGAGAATGGAAGAGAAAGAAAAAAGAAAAGAAAGTGAGAGTTATCGTGATAGAGATCGGGATAATTATAAAAGTGACAGAGCACGGGGAAAAGATCGGGATTATGATCCCTATTACGACAGGCAGCCACCTCCGAGGCGAAGGGATCCTTACTATGGAGATGAGAGATATGAACGACCAAGATCAAGACACTCTCTTCGTATGAGATTTTATTCTAATTAAACAAATGTCAAGTTAAACAAATGTCAAATTATGAATCAGATTTTTAAAAAAAAAAAATGTATGATTTGAGGTGAAAACAAATATGATTGATATGAGTTTGTTTATTACCAACAGTTGATGATGATGGATCAAGTTCCAAAGGAGGGCAAGAGTCTGATCGACCTAGATCAAGACATGACTACAGCAGAGATGTGGATAGGCCGAGATCCCGGCAGGATTATGGAAGAGATCCCTACTACAGGGACAAGTATGGAAGAGGTCAGTATACTACTAACTTATACTATAGATATGACAAAAAATAATGATTAGTCTAGGGATTTAAGAAAAAAAATAATCTCTGTTGCACTGAAAATATTGAAAAGGAAAAGACAATAAAAGAAATTTATGCAGTTGAATCTAGAATCTAGTGATCATGGTTTTAGACATTTTTGCAGAAAACTCTGAAAAGAAAAATGAGAAAGGTAAACTGGCAAATACATCATTAGGGTATATGAATACACAAAGTAAAAGGGGTGAAAGATGTACCAATAAAAAGAGCCTTGGTCATAATCTACCTTGTATCATCTGAAGTCTGTCCCACTGTTCCGATGCCATCACCTTTGCATTGTATCTCCAGTTACAAATAAACTTTGGCATTCAAATTAGGTAAAATCAGTGACAGAAGTATTTTTTTTTTCAAATTACTTCGAAACGATCCATTGAGTTTAACTAGTATATTGACACAAGGGTCAAATTCAAAATCTATGGGGATTTAACATTACAAAAATGGTTTCCATCTTAGAAAGAGATCTGCTATTATTCCTGATTTTCCTGTACTTGGCGATAGTGACATAATTACGTAGCACATGTTTGGATTTTGAGGTCGTACTCAGTTGATCTCTGGAAATAACCAGTACTCCCTTAATATTGCAACAGCTGAAATAATTATAAATTTGTATAGACTGAGAAAAATCAGGTCATAGTAATTTGTTGTAAGTTGAATGTATTAAATCAGAGTGGTTTAGAAATGATTAGACTCTAATGTTTTAATGATATTCCAAGACAATTCAAAATTTATTTCCTATCAGTAAAAAGGAGATGGAAGTGCTCATGTGGGACAGACTATAACTGAAATACATATATGCACTAAATATAGTAAATAGATTACATGTATGAATTATAAATAATATTTTATAATTGTGTATCGTCGTCATTAATTATGAATCTACTACATTATAAAAAAAACTTCTTGGGAATGGAGGGTGAAAATATTGTATATACATGGATCAGTAGTATAATGAAAAAAGCCATATAAAAGATAGAGTAGCACTAATAATGCATGAAAAAGACTAAAGGAAAAAGAAAAAGCACAATTCATTGAATGCTTGTTATTTACTAATGAACAGAGAAATACATGAGATATATAGACTCAGGACACTGTATGTATTTTGTTTACAGAGTTTGGTGTTCATATTTTAGTTGAGCTATTTTTTTGCATGTTTTTTTGTGTTAAACCATTACAGTGATAGAGGAATTACCAGAATACCATGAAGGTCAGTAGTGTAGTGATCAATCAACCCTGACATGGCATGTCACATGACTCACCTTGGATATTCATAAAACTGCTAGACTGACAAATATACTTGTTGTTTGGAAATTGGTTTTAGAAACTGCTTTGTTGATGGAAATTATAAAGAATTAATAAAGAAATCAAATTATATGAATAAACAAAGCAAATGCTCTTCTCTTTCCAAAGTCATTGTTAAACTTGCTTGGGTGAAATTTTCCTCTATTCAAAAACGTGGTACAGTGAAACCTCGTTATCTCAAACTTGATGGAACCAAGAAAAAACTTCGAGATATAATGGGTAAAATACTTAAAGAATAAGCAGTTGGGACTTCCAAATCACTTCAACATATCCATGGTATTCGAGATATCAGTGTTCGAGATACCGAAGTTCAACTGTATAAGATAATATAGTTATTGAAGCTTTGAAATTTTGAATTTAAGCCAGTTTTCTTACTAATTCTTAATACATACATACTTAGTAACTTTATACATACTAATACATTGTATTAATGCTTAAAATCATTTTGAAATTAATACTTCATTAGAGCTAGTTCTTAGAATCTCATGATACCATTGAATGAAAAGTTCGCAACTCTATCATCTCTGATTTCCAAAGCAATATTCAATTCTTTTTCAATCACAAAGTTTCTTAGGTTTTAGTCTTTTAATTAGTACCTGATATGTGTCATCCATAATACAAGTATACGGGAATATGGAACTTATTGAAGAAAGCCTTCCAGTAAACCTTCAAATAAAAATAAAATGATTCATCAGTGAAAGAAAATGTCATCTTCAATCATTAAAGATTAAGATGATATTGGTTTTTTTTTTAATTTGTGCAACATTAAATTCCTGTTTATGTTTGGTTTTGCTCGTTTTCAGAAATGTTTGTGATGAGTAATGTATTTCATGAAGTACAACTGATTGAGATGTACATGTACTAGTATAAGAATTTTTTTTTATTATTTTGGTTTTTCTTTATAGGCTATGAGCAGTATGATTACTATAGTCGCCAAGGTTACTATGACAGACATGGTTACTATGACAAATATTACAAGTATGACCAGCGTTACTATGACGATTATTACGGCAGGGGCACCTATGAAGACAGGTATCTTTTTAATGTTCTTTTCATATCTTTACAATTAAGCCAATTCAAAGCTATTTTACTGTTAAAGTAATCTGAAATTTCTGAAATAACAATTTCAGATTTTTTTGTGTGTAATGTAACATTAATTATGAAAATGGAGATAAAGTTGTCAAACTTTACTATTATAAATTCTGAGTATTCTTTTTGTGAAGTTATTAACTTTGATGAATTGCACTTTTTAACAATGTAATCATTACATGTTGTATGATCAAGTGTTAAAATCAATGAAGTCACCTGGAATTCTTTATAGCATGTCACATATTATTCACACATATATAGTGAAAGCCTACCGCTTGCTTGTTATTCTACAAAGCAAAACATCCATGTTCATATCATTTTGTAGTTGTAACCTACATATCCACTACAATATATCTGTATCAAGTCAGATTTTTAAAGCAAAAATAAGAAAAAGGACCAAATAATTTGTTTCTGTATAAAGATTTTTATAGCAAAAATGGCATTTTAGTTTTAACAGGTTACTGCAATTCGATTACCCAAACCATGGCCAGTGGCATCATGGGTAAGGCTACTCTAGCCTGCACGTCAACCTTAGCAAAAACTGGCAACTCTTTCCAACTTTGCTTTCTGAATGTGTTAATCCTTGAAAAAATTGTGCTACATTTGAAATTTTGAATTTTGTGTTCAAAGTTTTGCATGGTATTTTTAATTGACATATAGGTACCAGCCAATGAAACTTTAGAGGAATAATTTTTTTTAAATTTAGCATTGTAGATGTACAGTATTTTTATTATTATAATTATTAATTAATTTTTTTTTACTCTCTATACATGTACTAATAAAAATAACAACTCTTTCATTGATATCTTGATATCAGTAATTATGGATCCAACATTTTGTTGTCAGTGTTTTAGATGTCTTTTCTTTTGAATGTTTTCTTTAACTTTGGTTTTCAGTGATTTGCTTAACTATTGCCTTTTTATCAAGTCTGGTCCATTTCTTTCCTTTGCACCATATTCTATCTGTCATAATATTCAATATTTCACCAGCTGCTTGTGCTAGATGGCATTGTTTTGTGTGTTAGTGTTTTGTGTGTTTGTTTCCAACCTTTATGGCATTTTTGTTAACATTTTATTTATTTCCATTAATAGTTTATGTGCACTAATCATAATTTGTAATCTTATTAATTGCCTACATTGAATTTTGAAAAAGAAATTTTAATTTTGATTAGAGTGTACTAATCTATAGAAGTTTCTTAAAAAAATGTAATCAGTTAATTAAAATCCGGCACAAAGCTTCATAAATGTACAGATGTGTATATGCTGGGATGATGTATAGATTATAGATTTGTATAGTGTGTAGGTAGTAATTTGGTCACATGCATGAGATTGAGCACCACAGTAACAGATTTCCTAGAGCATTATGTTGATGAATGATGCATGACTTGTAAATGTTTACCCACAGATACCCCAGTCAATATTACAATCAGTATGGACAGCCGTATGAAGACAGTGAAAGGTTCACGAGTCAGAGAGGCTCGCGAGTCCAGACCCCGGGCTCACTGTCTGACACGGGAGAGCATCAGTGAGTAAATTAATGGGTGATCAAAGTAAAGAGATTAGCCAGCCATGATATCAGCTTATAGGGGGGTACTACTGGGATAGGTAAGCTCAGGAAGATTAAGATCATTATAATATGAACTTGTTTGAAGGATATTTTTAGAAATCATAGGTGTTACAAAGTTGTTGACAATGGTTCATTTTGGCCTAACAACTGACAAGTGAACCTCATTATGCAAGTCATCATTGATATTGGTAATCCCCCCCCCCCCCTAATGCATATACACATATACACTTGATGTCCACTGAAGTGTTTAACCTGTAGATGTTTTACAAGTAATGCATTTACTTGTTTTGCTCTAAAAGAGTCTTTAAGTGGACTGTGCTACTTGCATAAATATTAAAAAGTATTGAAAGCTTTTACATGCATGTAAGCAAACAAATAAAAAATGCCTAAGCTTAGTTTTTTTTCACCACAAATATGTACCCTACAGGATACTTTTCTGCACAATGCATTGGTTGGAAATTGGTCTTCTAATGAATAAGCTGTAAACTGCTTTACACAAAAGCCATGCTATTATGCAGCATGTACATGTATGTTAAGCATAACAGGCGCTCGAAGCTGAAATGTGATCATATAATTTGAAAAATTTAACTAAGAAATGAGTGACGTAGATTTTTCGAAAAGAAAAATAGAATTATAAACTTTACTTAGAATTGTGTAATGTATGTGTCTTGTTGAGTTCTATGTTTGTTTTGTCTGATGAACACTGCCATTTTTCTGCCTGGGCTTTTTTATTTGGTATTTCGGGTTGGGTTCTTTATTTCTGGGGCTATGAATTTGACAACTTATAAACATGTAATCAACAAATTCTTAATGTATATTTATAATGAATAATATGAGTACATATACATACTTCATTTGATTATTATTGAAAGTGTAACTTTTGTTTGTATACTTGCATAGCTAATTATACTGTGTATTCTAATCATAACCACCATATATTGTAATGATTTGTATTTAATTTTGCATTCACCAAAAACTTATGTAACAAAACTTCACATCACAACATATCTTAGCAGTAAACATATAGCACAATATGCATCTGTAATTCTGTATTAGCATAGTTACTATATTTTAATTCAATAACATTAACACTCTTTAACAGTTCTTTTCTTATTGTAATATTTTTCTTCTAAATAATGACACAATTAAATGTACTTGTTTACAGAGATTACGATGGATACCGACAGTTTCATGGGTCCCGTTCCTCCAGTCGTCAAGGTTACGATGATTACACACGTGCCCAGTGGGATGCGTATTATGCCAACTACAACAGGGGTTATGGTTACGGTTATGATTATGATCAAGGCTATGTACAAGGTACGAGTCTTTTTCAAAAATGTTAACATTTAAAGAGAAGAAAAAAAAATTAAATTCAAGAAAACATCAAGGATAGAATATTTTGTGATTTAAAGATATATAGCATGTACATTGTTAATCCACTATATTTTTGTGAGACAACACAGCAAAATAGTTTACCAGGCATGTTCATACGTGTATATACATGTACATGTACATGAAGGTGAAGTTACAGGTAGATATTATTTTAACAGAAACGGCTCCTAGCAGGATGACCCCGGTCAAACATTCCATTCCACATGCATGCATCAGATTTGGTCCAGGAGGTCATCTTGTCAAGGTCATGCCAAATCGCCCCTCTGAAGGTCAACCAGCTACTGTGGAGATTCATGACCTGAATGAAATGTTACAAGACAACCCTGAGACAGAGGAACTGAAAAACTTCCCTGGGCCACTTGTCAGGTATATACATGTATTTGTATAGTAGTACCAAAAAGGCTGTATGGTAAGCAATATATTTTAGGAGGGGGAGGGATAACTTTTATTTGATAAGTAATGAAGTCCATCATCACGTCAATGCATGCCTTGTTGTTGAAGACAAGCACACACAAAAATTGTGTTTGGGATATACTTTTTGATTTTCTTTCCTTCTCTGTTTCTAAATGGAAACTTGGGTTATATTCCAGGGGTGATACACATAAGAATGATGTACTGACATACTGCCAGGCCAAAGCCAAGACTTCTGCTGAGAATGTCCAACTGACTGACCGAGACTCGGCAGAACTCATCTGGAGGTTCTTAGAACTACTCATCAAACAAAATGGGGTCAGTTCATGTCTAAAACACTGCTGCAGAATAAAACCTTCTTAAGTCCCTATACTCCTAACATAACAGTCATGTGTCTCATATGTTTCTCTGTGTAGCAGAAGTATTAAAACTGGACATTTCTATTTTACTTTATATTGAAAATATTAAAGCAAGATATTTATGATCATAAAGTTTTCTTCAATTTGAAAAGTATAAACTGATCTATAACTTAAAGAATGTGCTACTTGTGTGTCTTGGATCCATGTACCCCCACTTCATACAGTGAATGTAAATTGTTAAATACCAAGACATATGAATAAACACTAGAATTTTTTTCACCAACTATGACTGATGAGGTTTGTTGTAACAGGTATCATTTTCTACATTTTGATATTAATTTTGATATATAAATGCATGCAATAAAACAATATTGTTTTAATTCAAGGTAATGATATGATTAATTATAGAAGCATAATTTGCCTTTACAGACGTTTGTTGGCACAGACATTGCTGACTTACTATTGGACGGACATGAACCTACCACTGTTGACTATAGCATGATGGGATTGAAGATAAATCCGAGCTCAGATACACTAGATGAAGACTTCGATGACACGGTAGATATGTCTGTCATCACTTCAGATAGATCAGTTATTTCTAGAAGCCGCAAAACCCGAGAGGAAGCAACTGATCGCTTCAGGCATCTACTGTTGTATGGCAGGAAGAAGGTAAAATCTGAGATGTAACTCTGAATAGATAACTCTGAAATTATTGTACATTCATCATTTAGATACAATAAAAATACTGCTTTTCATTGTTGAATATGTGGAAGAATGAACAAGAAAATTCATTTGTAGGATGCTCTGGATTGGGCCATGAAAAACAACCTCTGGGGACATGCCTTGTTTTTAGCAAGTAAAATGGACAGTCGTGCACATGCTAATGTTATGACTAGGTAGGCATTAAGGTTGTTAGAATGTTTTAATGGGTCTGTCAAAGTTAGGTCATAGTTTCATAATATTTTCAAATAATTGTAGCTGATTGAGATGCATGTAAAATTGACAATCATCTTTTACATTACATATAATGCAGTGGGAAATGACCTACATCAGTGATTAAAATGTCTAGAGACGATTTATCAGTGTTCATCTCCTTTACATATGTTTATTTCATCGCGTAACTCTTTTGCCTTGTAGATTTGCCAATAGTGCCATGAAGATGAACGACCCTCTGCAGACTTTGTTCCAGTTAATGTCTTGTCGACAGCCAGCTGCTGTTACGGTTTGTATATAATAACCGGAGAAACATACATAACTTCTCTTCAAAACATCCAAACATCTATTCAGAGCTCCAGATAATTTTTTACCTCAAAGTGTATTTACTCCCTGATTTTCAAATCAATACAGATTTTGTTTTTCAGCAAAATAATCAAAAAGTATTTTGTTAATCTATTGCTCTTTTGACATCTAATGTGATTTTTAGCTTGTTATCAAAATAAGTGTGTTTTAAAAGAGGAATGTAAAAAAATGGACAGTTTCTGCATTTATCAATTAGGTTAATGAAATTTTTAAAATTTTGTCAGCTTTTAGCTACAACTGAAAAACATTTTGGTTTTTTTTTTCACCAGAAAGACCATGCGGTAGGCAATGTTACCACGGGCACACAGAAATCCATTTAAGATTAAGTCCTATATCAACCGTAGCAAGAGTTACAAAGAAAAATATCCTTCCTTTGGCCAGACAAAATTAATCTTTAGATTCTCATTCATACCTGCCCCTCTCAAAATATCCAGCCCCGTTGTTCTCCATTTTGTTCGTTTTTTTTAAATCAAAATTATATACTACGTTTTGCTATATATAAATTGTTGGCATCGATTGAGGTACATGTAAGAGTTTTAAAGTTACTCCCCGTTTGCATTAAAAGTTGCGTGGCGCTACTTGTAGCACAGGATCATATGGAAAGCAAAGAAGCAATTATTTTCATACAATTAATAAAGGTTGTCTTCGGACTTTAGATGATATTATTGCTACAGAAAATGGTAAATATACAAGAAATGTTTAATAAACAGTGATAAAGGATAAATTAGACACCGTGCGTGTTTTGTGCAATTTTGACAATATCGACGTGTACACGTCAAGAACGAAATTTTGGATGTTAAAAGAACATTGGAAATCTGATATTTTGAGACAAAGAACGAGTGTTTAATATTCAGATCTTTCTCCCGAAGTGGAATTTGGCCTAGGTTATTCCAAATACGCTTATAAATCAAAAAATTCAAACACTGAGCTGACCTTAGTTAAATCTTACTTGTATCTTTGAATCCATAGTATTTTCATAGTGTAATGCTTATTTATGATTGCTAATGCATAATTGTATGCCCTGTTTTAATTTTTAATGCGTATTTTGAAAAATTCAATGCATATTCTGCAAATGTGCACCTTATCTGGAGCTCTGTCTATTTCAGTTTTGAGCTGTGAAATCTAGCAGAATAAATATGTTCTATCTTATGTTTTTTTTTTTCTTTCTGGTTTTTTTTTTTTTAAATTCAAGATAGTCCTTCGAGTATAAATTTTATAAATGTTAAATGGTAATTCAGCAGTACATGGTATATTTCTAATTTCTATTTGTTTTTTTTTCAGTGTGTGGTGGATGAGAAGTGGGGGGATTGGAGACCACATTTGGCCATGATTCTGTCTAATCCAACTGGACGGGACATAGACAAAAAGTCCATTATGACCCTAGGAGATACTCTTGGTATGTCCCAAAGCTTGAGAAAAACATATCTATCAAAACCTGATTTCTAGACATTTTAAGCCATATAACAAAAAGGAGGATAATGAAATTAATTTCCTGTTCAAAAAAGATTATTTAATTGTAATACAGTAAAACACACTTATAGCGAACACACTTGTAATTGATTCAAGCTTACAGCAAAGTGATTTTCATTCCCTGTGGTTTTAGAAAGTATTTTGAACTTAACAGATATAACAAATTAGGTTTATAATGAAGCAAAATTGTCCATCCCTGGAATGTTTTACTGTATTCAGTCTTCCCTAAGAAAAACTCCTTTTGGGGTACAAATGTATATAGATTGGGTGTTTATGAATATTAGCTTGATGTACATGACTTTACCTGTACACCTTGTGTGGTAGCAATTTATAATTTCAGTGAATAACAAATTGAAATCCTATTGAATATGATTTCCACTCATTTTAAAACTTCAAATTTTATTTAGCATTATTTTACCTTTGTTTCAGCATCCAAGGGTTTTCTGCATGCTAGTCATTTTTGCTACATGATGGCTCAAGTCAACTTTGGTTCTTATCAAAAGAAGACTGCTAAAATGGTGCTAGTAGGATCAAATCACAGGTACAGTTCAAG